ATAGTATTATCCTAAATTTTAGATACAATAAATATATAAAAATAGATAAAAATAAATTCATTTAAAACATAAAAAATATTATTTTATTCGAGCAATCATTAGAAACACACTCCTTATTAGTTAAGGGTTATTTCTTCAAATTACTCGTATAAAATAATATATGAAAATTTTATTTTAGTAATAAATTTATAAATATGTACATTACTCAAAATTTAAATTTAAATTTGAAGATTAAACTGTAAAATAATCAAAATTCTGGCAATAAATAAGACTAACATGCAAAATAAGTATTGGAATTGTAATTTAACCATTATCACTATTAATGATTAAAATAGAAACCATTAAAATAATAGGGACTAAATAAGATATTTACCAAAAATGCGTATAAATAAAAGCAGTGATTAAACCATAAATATGGAAAAACATAAGCTCAAAACAAAAAGATAAAACTTTAATTTAATGACTAAAACACAAAGTTACAAAACTCTAGGGACCTAAAACATAATTAACCCGCACACAAAAAATTACTCTCAGATCCCTTACTAAACGACGTTGTTTAACCCCAATATAAATACCCATTAAATCAGCCATTTGGCCCCGACCTGGCCATTTATCTCTTTTACTATCTATCTCTTCATTCTTAAAATAGATGAATTCTCTCTCTTCTATATTCTCTCTTTCTCCCGTCGGTTATGGCGAACTCGGTCGACCGTCGGCCATCGTTTATGATGGCCGGAAACTAAAAAAATTAACCAAAATGATCTCATGCATTTCCTCTACCCGAATCTGAACACCACTCCCCTTAAAAATAACCCCCACTGTCCTAGATCTAAAGGAAAACGAATGGTTACCTTCAGCTTTCTAAGGATTTTTCTGGTTTTTCTCACGATTGTTTGGTTGCTGTTGTTGTGTTTGATTTTTGTGCTTGTTTTAGTTGTTGTTGATGGTTGTTTTTGGTCTGTTTTTATTCGTATCTCCTGTTGGTTGTTCATGTCCCTTGTTGGTTGTTGGTAGGGGTTCCTTTTATATGACTCTTAAGACCATCTTTCATACCTATAGAAGGGAGGAGCCCTTTTAGTCATCGAGCTATGGCGGTGGCCTTCTTAGGGGCGACGTCGATTTTAGGTATATGGGGCATTTAATGCCCCATATATGTATGATTTGGTCGGTGATATCGACGGCTCGGGTTAAGACAAAACCCTTGCATCTTTCGATCTGGACCTCTGGATTGATCCAACTCTGATGGTTCATATCTGTGCGGCAACGGCAAATTACTGAGGGTTTAAAAAACCCTAAATATGATCTTATCTGGGCCGTTGGATTGGCCACAGATCAAACGGTTCAAATCCTCTGGCGGCTGGGAGAATGATACACAAAACTCTAGCTATTGTCTTGTATGCGGGCCTGATCTGCTGGGTTACTTCCTGGGCCTTGAACGAATCACTTGCTGGGTCAGACTTGTGAGCCCGATTAGACTTTGACACTTACCAGACTTCTAGACTTTGGACCCGAACCCTACAATTAAAGCACAAATAAAAAAATAATAATAATAATACAAATAATATATTTTTCAAAACTATATATATAACCAAAACAAAACAAAACAAACATAAACTAAAACATAGTGTAAAACTTTTTGGTTTTATACATTTTTAGGATCGTTAAAGGAGAGGAAATAAAAGACTGAGAATAACTTCTTATTTTTCACATTTTATGCTATTAATCTCAACCTTTGATTTCTTATCATCCAACGATCCTAAAAAGTATAAAATTAAAAGTTTTACACTGAATATAAGTGAATCTTAATATATATATATATATATATATATATATATATATATATATATATATATATATATATATATATACATGAAATTCGAGTGACTATAATTCTTGGTAAATTGGTCGTAATTAAACATAAAACATTATAATCAAAATATTAAGATATTACTATTGTATTAATTATTAATTCAAACGTTGGTTGATAGTTTATATAGGACGTTTTGAAGCATGTAGATCAAATTATTCTATAAAAAAGAGACAAGATACTGGAACAATTAAAGAAAAAAAGTTTCCCTCTATCTCTAATTGAAATGTACGATGGATGTTTTTAATTTCCATATCCGGTCTGTTTGTTTCATTGAAAATATTTTTCATAAAATGAATTATATCTTTTGAAAAATATTTTTATGGAAAATGTTTTATAGTGTTTGGAAGACTGTGTAAATCATTTTTCACTAGTTGATGAATTTTTTAGAAATTATTTATTGCAAATTTAAAATATAATAAATAATATTATTGATTATAAAAACTTAATATTATTATTTTAAAAATATTATAATAATTTATTTAATAATATTTATGCCAATATTATTATTAAAATATTATTTCTATAATTTTATAAAGAAAAATATTAACTCTAGTATATTCTATTAAAATAAAAATATGATAAATTATATTGAATATCTATAAAAATAGACATATTTTATTTTAAAATTATTAATAAATATATTTTAAGAAATTTTTATAATATTATTAGACTATTATATTAATATTAAATACATAAATAAAAGTATTCACTATTAAAAATTCAATAATATTATTTTTAAGAATTGATAAATAATATAACTTTTATTAATAATTCATTATATATTATTAAAATAAGAATATAATAGTATCATATATTATTATAATATAATTGAGTATATTATGGTAATAATAATAATATTATATTACGTTATTAAAAATATTAATAAATATATTTTAAATAAATTAATAATTAATATTTTTATTAAAATGATACTAAAATATCATATTATTATTAAATTTATAAAATAATATTATTTTGAGTATTTATGGTTTGAAGTGAAAAGTTTAGAAAATTACTTACGAAAAATTAAAACGTAAGTTACTTTATAGAAAATGCAAAGGAAATTTTGTTGACCAGAAAAATATTTTACGTTGACCAATCTATTTTCCTCTAACCAAACATTGAAAAGTAAGGAAAACATTTTTTAAAAAATATTTTACGTGACACAAACGAACCTAAATAGCTATGTGAATATTCTTCTAAAAGAAGAATTGAAGAGAAGGTCTTCTGAATCGGAATTAGGAATTTTTTACCTAAATATATTTTATTAAAAAATATTTCTTATTATGAGCATTAAAATCTGGAATGCTTAAATTGGCATTCTTTTATATTACATAACTAAATATGTGTTTTTGCAGGACTGTCTTATTTTAATGTGGCAGAAAGTGTATTTAGTACGTAGTAGAAAGTGTATTGTACATAAAGTGTCTTTTGTTAATGTGGTAAAAGAAGCGTTTTGCAGTAAGCGTCTTATGTTATTAAAGTCCTTTTCCTGGTATACCCAAGAATTGTAGTTGTAATTCCATGTCTTCTGCTTTTACGCCTTTAATATGGGTTCCTAGTCCTATATACCCTATGGTGTTGAGGCCAGTGGGTCTTATCCTGGAACCAGTCTAGGGTTAGGGTTGCAGGCAGACGAGAGGCTATTTTCTTGGCACGTGTATGGGCTATGATAAGGCATCTTTCTTTGATGGCAGAGCTTTCAGGTGTAAACAACGTCTGAACATAAATTTGGTTGAAAGTATTGACCATTTTATACGTAGAATGTCAGATTGCTCTGTTTGTTGATTTTTTTAACAGTGAAAACGGATATGAAATCAGTACACGGTAGAACTATAGTCACGACAGCTGTAAAGACAGCTTCTCTTATATCTACACCTACAAAACCCAACATCCCACAATCACTCAATCTATTTATTATTTTGGATATGTAGTTTGGTCAAGAAGCACCTTGGGTTGGTTGCAATTTCAATGAATTTAGCCTGTTTCCTGTAAACCATTTACTTGTCTCGTAAACAACTTGCCTTAAAAATCAAGTAAACTAACATGTTAGTCTCATATATATGTGTATAGAGTACATGAGCATTGTCATGATGAGGTCGGTTGTTGGTGAAACCTGCAAAAGGAAAGCCAGGAGCTGTTCCACGACCCCCACTAATTTCAACATCAGTTAATATGATTTCTAGTAAGAAAAATAAAGGATAAATTAGTATTTAGTCACTCAATTATTTTTGTGGTTCAATTTTTGTCAGTAAACTATTTTCCTTTCAAATTCATACCTAAACTTATGTTTTTGTTATATTTTGGTCAATCACTATATATGTTATCATAATATAATGTCACGTCATCATTGAAAAATATAGAAATATCACATCAATAATTTTGTTTATTTTTAATGACGGATGACTAAAATAGAACACAAATTTAAGTTTACGTATGATTTTGAAAAAAAAATGGAATCATGAGAATAGTTGGGAGATTAAATACATAATTTATCCATAAATAAATAAATAAATCAAAATTAAAATTAGTGTGGGACATCGGTGCCATATGTTTTTGTTAGAATTAATTTTGAGGTCCTCACATTAATGGTCAGTTGAAGATAATCCTCAAAGATTGAGCAGATTAACATTGGTTGAACGCCGAGCAAACATCACTGCAAGAAATCTGGTGAAGGATAAGAGCATGACAATTGTTAAGCCCTTAAACTTTAGGTCACATTTTTCAAGGGTAAACTATCTATTTAGTCACTGAACTATAGGGTCAAATTTATCTTGGTTGCTAAAAGAATTATGGATTAGGTCATTTAACTTTCGGTTTGGTGTCAATCAAGTCACTTACGTTAAATTTTAATCGAATTGATGATGTGGTTAATTTGTATTGGTATAGTAACAATTTCAACCCTTGACATTCACACGTTCATCAATTTGGTCCTTTCTTTTAGATTTCATGTTTAGGAATGGCTGGTTATATGGTCCTTTCTTATATAATCCACAATGCACCAAATTATGGAGTTAAGCCCATATCAAATTTTGGGCATAACCAAACCAAACCAAACCCGACCCGTAGTAGCTCAGCCTCTTTGCTGCTTCCCTAAGATAAAACATTGGGTTAAACCCTAAACCCTCGCTGGTGCCGTTTTCCCAGAAATTCCACACCCCAAAACGCACCTTCCCATATCTCTCTATTGATTTCAGGCTTTGTTTGTTTTTCCTATTCAGTGCCCTAACTTGGGTTAGACTTTAATTGTGGTTTGAGAGTTCACGGAGTTGTGGGGAAAATGGGGTTGTATCCGAAACGTTCAAAAAAAGCTAGAAGCAAAGATGTGGACATGGAGGACTTTGACGATTCGGAAGATGAGGAATTATTGGTTAATGGCGAAGAGGAAGAAGAAGAAGCTGAAGTAGATGAAGATGATAGCGAAGAAGATATTGATGACGACGACGACGACGACGATGAAGAAGAAGAATTAGAAGATGATGATGACGACGATGGTGGAGAAGATGGAGAAGAAGAAGAGGAGGAGGACAAAGATGGTGAGATGGAAGAGCTTGAAAAAGAGTACAAGGAGCTTCACAGCAAGGAGCAGTATGTTAAAGCGGATTTATTGCTTTATCTGGGCTTCTAATTTTATTTCTGCTTCACTTTACGTCGTTTAGTTACAATACACATGGATAGATTTGGGTTTGGGGAAATATTGAATTATGTTTTCTTTAAGATTACTGTTTTTATTTTTACCCTTTTATTCCAAATTAGAGATATATTGAGGAATCTCAAGCATCATAAGGATGAAGATGTTAAAAAGGGTGAAGCAGTGAAGAACCAAAAGGTATATACCCTCTTTCTTAGCGTTCACATAAACGTGACTTCATTGATGTTTGGCTTATTTCCTGTAACTCTTGATGATTATTGTTGATAAATTTTGCTATTTATATGTATGCTTATATTTTTGTGTCTGTCTGTGTGTGTGTATTTGTGGGAGCTATCATAAGTAAATCTCAAACTTCTTCCTTATTTTGCCAAGGCTCTTTGGGATAAAACTCTTGAGTTCAGGTTCTTGCTTCAGAAAGCCTTCTCCTGTTCAAATAGACTGCCGCAGGTACCTTTATTTTCTTTTGTGTGGTGTATTTTGTGTTCTTTCCTTGATTTGACTGTTTTGTTTATGTATTCGAATTAGATTTATATGATGACTTTTCTATCAGGACCCTGTTAGGTCTTCATTTTGTGCTTCAGATGAAGTAGTCAGTTCTGCCTATTCGGACCTTATAACTTCGTCAAAGAAGACTTTAGATTCTTTATTGGAACTGCAGGAGGTATTCCTTTTCTTAAGAAACATTCTGTCTTCTTAGTAAATTTTTTGCTTATTAAACATTGAAAGCTAATGCTTTTAACAACCTTACCATGAAATTCCTTTTCCTTTGAAATCTTCTTATTGTTACTGTTGAATTGTCATCAGGCATTGCTGGAGAACAATCCATCAATTGCTCAACCTGTAGAGGGTATGACACCAAGCTTTTTTCAAATTGTGTCATTATACTTTTGAACTTGAATATCTATCAATTTATGTGTTGCACTAAATTCGGTATTTTAGACTGTATAGAATAGTTTGTTTTCTGTTGTTATTTTTAGCCTCTAGAAGATCCTTCTTTAATATGTCACTGCTGATCTATCAAATTTGTTTCCTATTATCTTTTTGTTGTTTGTTTATTTTCTTTTTCCCTGTATGATTGATTTTAATGTGCCACGTTCACTAGATAATTGCTTAAACATTTAAAAAACAAGCAAATTATTAAGCCTGCACATTATGTATTACATTAACCTTGTGTTCTACTCTTAAGGTATTGGTGCTCAACCATCTGAGAAGCTTTCTGGAGATTCTAAGAACTTGGACATGGAAGATGATGAAGAGTGGCTACAGATTTCTCAGATGAATAAGAGGTAGCTCTAGCAAATTTTAGATCACCATTCCTTGTTGCTCAATTCGAATTGATATTCTGTGTTCAGTTGGAAATATTCATATTACAATATTAATTGGCTAAATTCCTTATTGTAGAAAGATTGAGGTGGTCATTTTCGTGACTTTTCTTGTTTCCATTCTTCATACAACACCGTTTTTCTTAATTGTTTTTCTTGGAGTATTTACCAGTGCTATTCTACCATGCTCTAGATTGATTCTGATTCCAAGTCTTTGATTCCTGATTTTACAACTTTAAATTAACAGTGCCAGAGATGCTATGCTTAAAGAGTATAAGTCTTTGTCATTAGTTACAGATTGTTGTTATGGACTCTCCTCAAATTGTCTTGTCTTGGAGTGTTTACCAGTGCTTTAATATTCATTCACCTATTGCTTTTATGGGTTTGACTGGCTTGGTCATGTATTTGTGTTATCCTTTTTCTTCCAAATTCTGTGTCTTCTTTTTATACTTGATACTCTCCTTCAAATAATATCTCTTGATACGAGCATTTAACTGACAATTTTAATGCTCGAGTCCTGCAGAATAGCTGCTTTCAGAGATAAAGCAGTTGACAAATGGCAGAGGAAGACAGAAGTCACAACTGGTGCTGCTGCAATAAAAAAAAAATTGCAAGCTTTTAATCAGGTTTGATCCTTAGCTGACACTGGCTCGCTGATATTAAATCCGTGCCCTATTGGATGTAAAACGAAATTTGCTTAGTTCTTTTCCTATGACAGAACATTAGTGAACAAGTGGCAGCCTATATGAGGGATCCAACTAGAATGATAAAGCAAATGCAACAAAGAAGATCAACAATTGGCATATTTGGGGCTGTAAGTTACTAAATTCTTGTTTGAGGGTTCTGAATTTGCATAAAACATTAGACATGGCTCTGGTGTGCTTTCTGCACAATTATTTTTCTTTTTCATGTTTTCTTCTATTATTTACCCCACCTTTATTGGACAGGTTACTGAGTCCGGTAGTAGTGCTAATGGAGAGGTAATGTGATTCTCTTTATTACTCTAGGCTTTAATAAATGACATGGTGTTTGTATTTCAATGTTAAGGTTCCGGCCTCACTGACATACCATGTAGAATGCATGGTAGGCTATATGGGTTTGCTTTGGAGGATGTAATTTTTGCCTATACCATTTAGTATTCATGGTAGTTGAATAGGTATACACCAATAGTATACAAAGAGAAGCTTGTTCTTAAGGTCCTGTTCGGATAAAACTTAGAGGAAAGTAAAGTCGTTGATGGTGAAGTCATGGGGAGTGATAGTCAGTATTTAGCCAAAGTAAAATGATGATGATTTGGATACGCTAGAATATTGCTTTTGTTATCAATACATGTTCTCTTCTCCTGTCAAAATTTTATCTTTGAATCGTTTGTATGCTCAGGAAGCACATCCCGAAGGTGATCCCGAACTTCTGGATGATTCTGAATTTTACCAGCAGTTGCTGAAGGAATTTTTTGAGACTGTTGACCCAACATCGTCAGGTAAATGTTCTCTAACATCTTTTAAAAAATTTCTTGCAATATGAAGAATATTTTATTTTAGTTAAAACATTACTACTGTTCGACCGCAGAGACGGCCTTCTATGCCTTAAAAAGACTGCAAACTAAGAAGAGAAAAATAGTTGATCGTCGTGCATCAAAGAGTCGAAAGATCAGGTAAGTTTTTCAAATGTGATTGGATCGGCACCTTGTAATAAGTAAAGTTAATCTAAGGTTCGACACTTTTGTGTTAAATAACACCCTTTCAGGTACCATGTTCATGAGAAGATAGTCAACTTCATGGCACCGGAGCCGATGAAACTTCCTCCCATGGCTCCAAAGTTATTTGAGAACTTGTTTGGACTGAAAACCCAATAACCTAATGCTGAATTCTGATACTTTTTACTGGCCATTTGGAGTTTTGTAGTGTTACTTGTTTTGTGATATTTAATGAGCAAAAGATATGTTTTACTATTATGTTTAATCAATTTTTATCATGTCTCATAATCTTTATCTTTATATAAAATCTACACATTACAATAAACAGATCTCGATAATTGATCTAATTAGTCATTTTTAATTTTCAGATAATTTTAAATATTGATATTTACTTATACAATTTAACATAGTAAATGAAGATATGGATTACAGTATTATAAACAGTGGAGGAATAAACTTGTTGTCGGTTATCGAGCATGTCATTTTAAAATTCAAAAATTTTTAGATTATTTTTTTTATTTATTTTAAAATTTTATTTGTATCTATACCGAATATATTTTTTTAAAATATGTTTTCGATCTGCCACTTACTCTAATTCCTAACACAGGTCAATTATTTTGTGCCAGTAATTGTTCATTATATGTCCCATTGATACAGACACGCACATATTATATGTTTTTTTATTTAGTTTAATACGGCAAATAAACATTTATTTTAGAATTTATGATATTTTTTTACAGTGATATAGAATTCATCATGTCGAGGTGACGAATTTTTTACTTCGATTTGATAGATTTTAATAAAAAAATTATATTTTATTAGAACTCGTTAACTCGAGGTGACGAGTTTGAATAAAAAATATTTTTTATTAGAACTCGTCACCTCGACATGACGAGTTCTAATAACACTGTAGAAAATATCGTATATCCCAAAATATAGACCTAGATGTCCTAATGGGCTAAGTAAAAAACCCGTTATCCTTATTGGGCCAAAAAAGCCCCCTCCGGAGTTCCTTTTGTTCTGTCCAAATTGTTTTCAACCTTCTCATCCTATAATAATTTTTTTCCATTTTTGAGAATTTCTCATCCTATAATAATATTTAGTTTATATATAAATTTGGCATATCAATAATTCTTAATTAAATAATTCAAAAATGATAAATAAAAAAATGTTTTATTGACAATGTGATTTTGTCACAATTTAATTATAATATATCTTTAATAATTATAAGTGTATATCAATAAAATAGAAACAACTTAAAGATCATAATTTAATTATGATATATCTTTAATAATTACAATTGTCTGCCAATAAGTGTTGGTTTAAGAGCTAAGCAACTTGATATCGTTTAAGTAATGTCTTGAGTTCGATTCTTTGTGTATGCAGAAAATCTCTGCTGAGAGACTCTCCCACCAAAATTAGATATGTAACGCAGGTCGACCCGGATAAGTTAAGGTGAAACGTTAGAACAGGTAGAACAAAATAATAATAATAATTACAAATGTTTGTCCATAAAAGAGAAACAACTTAAAGATCTAAAGTAGAAGTAAATGAGTAAAAAATTGAATTAGAAAAGAAAAATAGGATAATAATGGCAAAGTATGATGAAACAGAAAAGGGATAAGACAGAAGAAAAATGGGAGAGTAGAGAAGAGAGAGGCAATTGGCCTGATCCCTCATATTGAGAAAGGGTTGTTCACCAGGCGTACCTAACAGCCACGCTTCTCACTTCTTATTTGTGCACCTCATCCCCATCATTATTATTATTATCTTCATTGCTTAAACATGGCTTAATTACGCTCATTAATTATCCTATAACTCAGCCGCTAAAATAAGCAGATGCTGTCGCCCTACTTGCATGCATGCATGCTTAATTAATTTACACTATTTAAGGTCTCGATGCTTAATCTTATCTATTATGATCTGGATCTTAATCCCCTCTTCTTTTATTATTTTTTAATCATTTCAATCCTATTTTATTTAAAACAGAGATTATTCTAAACAAAGGCTGAACCCCCAAATTTTAGCATCAACGACATGATATTGATTCTTGAACAGTGACAACGATCTAAGTTACACTTTAGGGAATCTAATGATTTGCATTATCTATTAAAGTTTGGTCACAGAGAATAAATTCCGGAATAAGAAGGATGGCAGATTCTGTGAATTTAAGTCAAAAGATGTTGGGATTTCTTCCTGGTGAACCAATGAGTTCATCTTTGAGTTATGAAGATCACGATTCTAGTCGTGTACTTATATTAAGAAGTAGTTTCACAACACAGAGAGAGGAAGCAAGGATCACAATTATGTGCCATTTCCTCATACAACATAAAATATAAGAGCACAACAAAACTTAGAAGATAATCATTAATGGCCGAATCTTCCATAAATTATTACTAGTGCCAGATGTTCTTCTTTATTGTAGCTGAGATGCAAACCCAATCCTGCATATCAAAACAAAGGTTAAATAATGGAAGATGCTGCAATTTGAGCAATGTGAAAAGTGCTTCACATGAGAGGAAAAAAAAACCAGAAAGTTGCTAAGAAACTGGACCCCTTTTGTGCATATATTGTTAAAAACTATGTAAATGGGTCCTCATGTAGGAATATACTGGTTTGGTTACCTTGGGCTAATTGGCAGAGGACCTATAGGGGAAGGGAACTTGGCCGGACTCGATGTACTTGACATCGGCCACGAGCAGCTCGTAGTGCTTCCTAACTTCGTCAGCAGTTTTCCCTCCGACAGCCTTGGCGACATTGTACCAACGGTCGGGGGTGTCCTTGTCGTAAACGGCCAAAGCCCTTTCGAAGTCTTTGTTCTGCTTGGCAGTCCATGAACCAGACCCACGGGAGGACATTGAGCTCGATGCCATTATGTTGATCACTTGGGAAGAAACAAGTGATGGAATGGACTGCACAAGCTACAAAGGGGATGGTATGAGAAAAAGAGTTGGCAATGACTGCTCTTTTATAGGCAGTGGGGAGAGGTGGTCTATATGATATCAGTTGGCGTAGAAACCTTGGAAAGAGAATTTGTAGAATTTCAGTGATTTGTTTCCTTTGGAACCACAAGAATTGTTGGAGGACCAAGAAGAAGAAGAAATGCAAGAGAATCAGTAAAACAAGAAACAAGTGTCTTAACAGTCAATAATATACGTATGCTGGCAATCCAAAGTCCTTTTCTTGGTTTATATTATTCTGCCAATGATAAGATGCATGGGAAAAATAAGAAAGTTTTTTTGTTCTTCTCCTTAGAATAACCAAGTAAAGCCTGTTCAGGCTGATATATATCAGAAAACATGGGAATTACTGTGTAAATATATGTGCATGCATGGATTGATCAAGGGGACGGTTGAGGGCAGTTATCTCTTAAAAATTTTATATTATCACATATTTTAATTATTTTCTTTATATTTTTTTATCAAAAATATATTTTTGACTCCTAGCATTTTATAAATTCGTTCACCTCTAAAATTTTAAAAATCCATCTCCTAACATAAAATCCTCCTGTCTTTATTTGTGTGCATGTTCATTTGTTGTCAACTTGAGCACTATTTACAGTTCTTTACCATTACATGCAGTGAAAGATAAATGATCACAAAAATGGAAGGTTAAGATTATGAAAATAATGTCATTTTCTATAATCAACCTGATCTCATTACTTAGATTAATACAAATCAAAATAAGAAAATGACACCAAAATTCTGGGGACAGACCTAAATATCTGTGTTGGGAATAACAAATCAAATCTACAAAGCATCTGAATTCAAGAGGACGGTGGGATGACACACCATGAGTTTAACCTGCAAGTTTTAAGAACAACAAAAAGAGAATTTTAAGCCATGCAAGTTGAGTTAGGGTTAGCCCCAACCTATATGGGCCTATCCCTCACTAAAATTCCTGCCACTAGTTGGAATGTATGCAAAATTTTATATCAACGGACAAACTTATAAAATTTTAAAAGTGAAAACAAATTATCAATAAAAATACAAAAGAAAATATCTAAATTATATAAGAATTCAAAATTTACAAAAAGCGATTTCCTCGCAAGCATCTCCTTCAATCCATCCCCGAAGACTTGTCATGAGTAGAGTCCCATTCAATTCCTCTACATTTGGGAAACCATCTTGTATCACCATTCCTTTCAAATAATTTTACCACTGTGATTTCAAAGTTGGCATACCATGAATTGTGTTGGATTCGACAAGGTGCCGTGGAACTAACTGAGAAAAATCAATGTAAACCGGAGAATTATCGTTAACCCTTTGTTGTCTCAAGAATGTCAAGTTGCAGGAGGTCATATTCATGGATGCTAATGGGGCTGCATGTGATGATTGGTTGAAAATTACCCATGCAACTTTCAAGTACGAAAAAAGAAATATAAAAAGAAAATAAAATGATGCTTTTGGATGTTTGGAATCCTTATCATTCAATCTAATCCCTTTTGAAACTAATATATAATATGAGATGAATCTACGAGTATTGGATAATCACACTTCTGGAAATTTCAAATTCTCATCTAATCTAGTTTCTTTTTGTGTTTTCTTCTAATGATTTAATTTTACATCTCTTAGATTTTTTTAATTCCGTATTTTTAAATTTTTAATATAATTTTTTAAAAGTTCACATTTCTAACATAAAATCTTGTATTCGTAGGTGAATTGCTTTTGATCTTCCAAGGACCTTGTTTCTTTTGCCAAATGGTCCCCTTCCTTTGAAATTGGAGCAAGAGATTAGGTTCTTGTTATTTGATAAATTTAGCAAGTTTAAATGGAGGTTACGATGGCCTCTAAAAGAATTCTTTTGATCAGCTACCACAGAACCAGGAATCTACAACTTTATACTGAAGGAAAAAAACTCCAAGAGAGTTTACTAATTACAATATTGCACACTTGCATCACCCTCGGAATACTAAAATATAATTTCTTTTATGTAAAATTTATTTTATAGATTAACTATATAAATTTAGATTTCACAAATCACAATCTATCTATCGAGGTTTTGGGTTCGAACAATGCGTATGCTTAGAAGCATAAACGTTTATTGTTAAATGGTTAAGAATCTTTAAATAAATATTACCTTGCATTCACCCTAGATTTATATAAAAATAATAATTTATAAAATTTTGAATTTCTTAGGTATTAATCTTAGAATACAAGGTTTTAGGGGTTTGGATTCAAATAGATAAGATTATAGAGTTTAAATCAAATAATTTGGTTTATTTATTTTATTATAATCTCTCAATATATATGTCAAATTCTGATTTTGATTCCTCTACTATAATAAAATTAAAAATTTGATTTAATATAATTTAAAATATTAACATGAAACATTTTCCTTAAAACTGCCATTTTAACTAATTATGCCGACATGAGGGGACGGCGCTAGGCGACAGACCAGGGCCTTGGTTACCCAAAAATGGAAAATTTGTTGTTTAGTCCCTTTAACAAATGCAAGGTTTTAAATTAGTGTAACAATAGAAACATTTTGTGCCCAAACGATAACTTTATAATATAATTCTTCCAAAAATCGTAAAATTTTAAAATCAATACAATAATAAAATATTATTTTTACACCTCAAATTTCTGACTTCGTTCCGTTGAGTGGATCTTTTTTTTTTTGGGGTAAGAATGAGTGTTTTTAATAAATAAAAAAATCCAATACTTTAATTGAAATAATTAAAGCTGTTAAATATTTGAATTAAGTAATGATAATATAGAAGAAGAGTGATCATATTAAAATATAAGAACTAAATCTTATATTAGAGGGACCAAAACAATAATTTGATCTAACAAATATGAAATGGATTTTCATCAAATTTACGTGAATTCTTTTGTAATGGATGTTTCTAAGATAAATCTATTTAACATCTTAAAAGAAAACTAAATTTAAATATTATATTGTAGTCTACCATACTAAAATACATTGAATTCTAAATTTAAATATAATATAAAAACCAAAACCATAATTTGTTTTTATTATTAGTATGAGGTAATTATAACATAATATTTGTTTAAAAAACTTTCAACCATTTGATAATAAACGTTCGAACATCCTTACAAATATTGTATTTAAACTCGATATCTTTAAAAATAATAATTATTCATTCGATTACTAAAATAGATTAATTCGTATATAAAATCGTAATTTAAATGAACAAATATGACTTGATTTCCATTTGAAAGCTGAATCACCAGAAAAGGAACCTTTTAGGTGGGAAGGTCTAAGGAAAACAAAAGGTATATAGGTTAATAGGGGAGCATATGCGAAAGGAAATGTCAATTACAGTATATTAAAGGGTATATACCACATTATTACATGTATTAAAAAAGCACACTAATTTTTATGGGGGTTTAATTAATAGTATTCATAGAGTATTGTAAATGCTCATTCTAAAGGGTGATTCTCTTAATTCATTTTTTTCATTCATAATGTTAGGATTTGAGCTTCTAATCTTATATAAGAGATCTAATATCTCATTTCACTAGACCAACTGATTATTGATGTCATACCAAATTATTTGATGGAATTAATAAAATAATATTTTTATCTAGAGTTCCAACTCCACCCTTCTTAAAAAAATATAAAATCTCGTTCACAAGATGAATCTATAATTTGAAATTTGATTGGATTGAATTGTATTTTTTTTCATATATGAAATTAAACACTCCAAGTAGATAAAACATATGTGGCTTGAATAAGGTTGCCAAAGATGTGTGATGTATTAGAACACGATCCCTATGCAAATTGGATATAGGTTCACCAATGGAACATGTCAATGATTGATAAACTGATGTTAGAATTTAAATGAAATTGTATTACATATATGTATTTGGTCGTTCGTAGGCTGATTCGAATGTTGGAAGATTCAACGAGACCAAACCAAGATATTGTGGGGGCAAAAGATGCTAATGTTCTTTATGCTGATCTTTGTGATGTCGTTCTCGTTAAAGTGCTGGTAATAATGTCAAAATGCCGGTTACTGTCTATTTCTTCGTGCTTTTTTTGCAAGCAATTCTACGGTTAATGTTGTGTTTTTACTCCATTGATTCATTTCCACTTCCACATTTTTGTTAAATTAAGTAATATTTTTTTTTCAGGATAAAGTACACAAATGGTCTCGACTATAGGATGTTATTTTGTTGAGTCTATTTATTATTAAAAGTTGTAAAATGATTTTCCGACTATAGGACGTTGCTCGGCTATTAAAAGTTACACAATAGTCACTCGACTATTTATATGTTTCAAACTCGTCTTTTTCTATTAAAAATTTGACATGAGATTCAACAAAGTGGCATCACATAGTCGGGAGACCATTCATATACGGATGCTTTTACTACACGTTTGGCATGATTTAATTATTTTTTATACATCTGGAGTAAATACAAGACAATATCTGTTCAAATACTCTCAACCAATTAACTATAAACTCTCATACCCCTGTCGGACCTATGACCTCTAAGCAGGCTAGTCCCAAGAAATATATGAACCCAGTGCTACTTTATTAAAATGAGACCCCTAAAATATATTATAATAACGTAAAATTGTAAAATATCAAATTTTAAGAAAATTGAAATTAGGATCGATATAAATAAGATTTTTTTGTCCGTTAAACACCATAAATTTGTTGATATTTAGAAAGAATTGATTACAATTGAATTGTTGAGATAATAAGGAAGAAAATTAGAAGTGTTTTTTTTTGTTAAATATGGCCAAGAAAAATATTTTTTTAATTAGAATATTTTTTTAAAGTATGACCCCCTAAATTTTATGGTCATGTGACGTATCACATTTTATAATTGTTAATGAATATGCCTGCCTCTAAGGAGAATAATGAGTCATTTAACCACTTAGGCCAATTGATTCATGCCGCATGATTTAATTTGAAGAAAGAGAATGAAT